CTGAGTTCCGTCCTGCTGTCTTGCAGGTCAGGCTTTCTAGCCAAATGCCACTGGTGGGGACCCCTTTCTTCAACGAAGGCGACCGGGGAGTAACATGCCCACACAACCTATGAACTCACGTTATATATTTCCGAATTCTTCGCCCTCACAAACTATGCACTCTTTGATCGAGGTGTTGGCGGTCGGCTTCACAGATTTCCATGTTACCATACTAACAGATCACACTCTTTCCCTTCCTCAATTGATGAACTTTCCCATTCTTGGTTTACCATCCATTATTTCGAGTCTCCAACAGTGTATTTTTCAAGACAACGGCAAAAACCATAGTCTTTTGTCTATGCGAAAGAAACTTGCATCTGCTCAGGTTATTCTGAAAAAATTATTCTCGCCCCGGTCGCGGCTGAAGTTAGTGACTTTCAACGTTCGAACACTTTGCAAATTGGGACTCAGGCAACACTCGCTCGCACACTGGAAACTCTTTACATGGACGTTTGATGTCTTACTGAGACACGTCTAAAGGATTCCAGCACCGTACTGCAACTCTCTTCACCGTCTCCGGATTCTGCAAGCTCGTTGACCCTCCGCCTCTCCGGAGCTCCGTTGGCAGAGGCTGCTGGTCAGGCTGGTGTGAAGATAGCACTAAATGCACTTGCGGAAGCAGTTTTACTCGACTGGATTCCAATCAATAGTCGACTCTGCGCCATCCATCTAAAAGGATCGGTGAGCGCATCTCGTAATGGGACAAAAAAGCTCTGTCTGTTCGTTATCCTGGCTTATGCACCGATGAATTGCAGTCCCGACAAAAAAAAGACGAGTACTACCATCAGCTCATCAACCTCCTTCACAGCTGGCGACACACTGACATCGTAATACTAGCCAGTGACTTGAACGCACAAGTAGGTAGGTTAGACGCTTATGAAACCTCACTTGGTGGCCAGTATAGTCTCGGTATTAGGAGAACTAACAACGACGACCGTCTTCTGTAAATCTGTGCTGGACATGGTCTCTTCCTTTCGAGCAACACTCTTCGCCAACCATGGCGCCAACGTGCCACCTGGCGACCTCCATCTTCTAACCAGCTCTGGACTCAAATAGATCATATTGTCATCAGCTATCGATTAAGAAATTGCATAAAGCACTGCAAATCTATCTGGAGCACATATCACAGCTCTGATCATGCACTCGTATGTGCGAAATTCTCTCTGCGCTTTGGCGGAAAACAGTAACGTCACCCGAGAAGACTCGATTTGATGAAACTGACCGGCCGAAACCTAGTTCCCGTCTTCCAAAACACGTTAGCTGCTGATCTAGACAGTCTGTCGTCCTCGAACGTTGATAACCAGTGGACTCACATCCGTAACGCTATCCATAAGTCCGCTACCACAGTGTGTGGCTTCACCAAACGCACAGCCAATCACTGGGTTTCGGCACGTTCTCTCCAACTCATCGACACTCGTCGAAGCATCTCTCCAGGCAATGAATACAACACAGTTCGCAGGACTCTCAGGGCTGAACTGAAACGGTTCCTAAAAGAGGATCGAGAGACCTGGTGGGCACAATGCGCTTCCGAGCTGGAACTAGCCTCTGCTTCCAGTAATGCTCACAAACTTTTTCGACTAATCCGAGCCACCAGTAGAAAAAGCCATGCGGCAGTGAAACCATATGCAAAACTAATGGCAAATATATCCACAATCTACAACGTCGGCTTGGGCGCTGGGCGGAGCACTTTCATCAACAATTCAGTCGGCCATCGACATCATCACTTCCATCTGTTGATGTCCGTAGTGCTCCATGGTCTGTGGACATTTCATTGAATACAGAAGAAGTAGTCTCCCGAGAGCTCAGACTTCTGAAACGCAATAAATTTCCCTGGCCCAGATGAGCTCCCTCCGGCCCTTTTCAAAGACGGTGGTGCAAGCTTTATTCGAGAAAGAACTTCCTTATTCAAAACCATCTGGAATACTGAATCCACTCCATCCAAATTGAGTTTGGCAGACGTCGTACCTGTTTTCAAGAAAGGCCCCCGCAACGATTGCTCCAATCACCGAGGGATCAGTCTCATCTCCGTTGTATCCAAAATGTTAACGGCTTTGATCCTTCGCAGGCTCAGTTGGACAAGAGAGCGTCATATCCGCGAAGAACAAGCTGGATTCCGCCCCGGCCGGAGCTGCGTTGATCACATATTTACGCTACGCCAGNAAACATTCAGTAGACCGACCATCATTGTGTTTTTGGACATACGTGCTGCGTTTGACACAGTTGACAGAGTAGCTCTTTGGACTTTTCTGCTAGGAAGCGGCGTGCCTGCGAAGTATCTAAACCTTCTCAAAGCCGTCTACTCAAACACATCGCATCTCCCCTTTATTTACTATCACAAGCGGAGTTCGACAAGAGTACCCAGCTTCGCCCTTCCTCTTTGATTTCGCGATAGAGAAAATCCTAAGTAGCGCTACAGAGAACTGCAGAGCTTCCGGCGTGGAGCTCCTCCCAGGTAATTGACTGCGTGACTTGGAATGTACTGACGACATCGTTTTACTCTGAGAATCCTCCCAGGACGCTCCAAACGTACTGTGTAAGTTAGCATTGTCCGTCACGCAGTTTGTTATGACATTCTCTTTATCAAAAATTTGAGGTTTTACTACAAGACTGACAACAGACTATACCTGTCCTTACGCTCATGAACGACCAGTTGAAAATCGTCGATCACTTCAATTATCTCGGGAGTTGTTTCAACTTAAGAGAACTGACGAAAGAAATATCAGCGCGTATCCGCAAGGCTCGAGTGGCTTTCGCTAACTTACGTCACTCGTGGCACCGACGCGATCGCATTTTCTCTTTAAAAGGCCGCGTTTACAATGCCATAGTGCGCTCTATCATACTCTATGGCTGTGAGAGTTCGCACCTCCACGCAGAAGATGTACGGAGATTAAGTGTCTTTGACCACCGTTGCTTTCGTTGCATCGCCAGAATAAGTTAGCAACAGCGAATCACCAACGACGAGGTTCGCCGGAGAATATTCACCGCAGACAATCTCACTCGTCCTCTGAGTGCCTCGTCTCGTTCCAGAGACTTCGATGGCTAGGACATGTGTTGCGAATACCGGCTCAATGATTGCCCTATCGTGTTATGTTTGCCCATGCAGACACTAACTGAATACAGCGACAAGCTGGAAAGCGAATAAACAGGGCTCGTATAATGAAGGTACTAACCTTAAAACTAGCAGTGGTAGGACGCTCTAAGCCCCCAGAATAGGGTCCCAAGGACAGAGGACATCCATGGCTTGATAAACTTGAAGACACGGCTGGTAACCGCCGTCAAAGGCGCAACTGTTGTGAGATTCTTATTCGTTGATTGAAATTTAAACCGTTTTCTCATTTATTCGTCCATGCGCTGTGGCACATCTGCAAATTCTATGTAATTGACTAAGTGTGGAAAATATATAAAATATAAATTTATACCATGAAATAGCCGTTAGTACTCTTCTTTGAGGAAATCGGTAAGATGAAGATGAAGATCAAGTTGATGATGATGACCATGATGATGATGATGATGAAGATGATGATGATTCGGATGACGAAGGTGAAGATGATGGTGATGTTGATGATGATGATGATGATGATGATGATGATGATGATGATGA